CTGAACCCGGTTTCGAAGACGAGGTGAGAAATATGCACTCTAGCAGATAGCTCGAAATGACGTTCTTTATAGTCGTATAACTTTCGCTCCCAATGTTCAACTTCTGCTTGCCTGGAAGGTGACATGATGGGAGCCAGTACAAGTTACATGTGAGTTGCAGATGAGCAGGTGCATAGAATGACGCGAGAACAATGTGTCGAGGGACACTCCATACAGTAGTATTTATACCAGCTTGGATATTGAACCTACTTGAGAAGAATTGTGAGCCAAAGATCTGAGTTTGACGATCCATCACTTCAAATTGCATGCCCTCCTATTCCAGCGGTCAATGCAGTGTGCTTTCTGCCTGCCCTTCACTACAACCGTTTATTATGGGATGCAATTTCCTGCTGGTAGTTTATCTGCCATATATATCTACTGCGTATGGGGTGAGCTAGAAAATTGCGCCGCCCTCAGTTATCTGGTTTGCCGAACATTGTCCACACGGACTAGGCTGTCCATATCTTAGACTTTTATATAAAAGCTTCCTTGCATTGCGATGCAACATGGTTCTCAAACGTTACCCAGGTGTCAAGGTCATAATCGGTTAAGATACGCTCCATTCGCTTCTCGCTTCTGAACCATGAAGCTTTCCACCAAGAGCAGATTAGATTCGCTAGTTTCAACCACGGCATTGTCATTTTCCGTCGCGGTTCTAGTCTGTCTATCTTTTATCTTTGTCGGATGTTCGTCGTCTTCCTCACCGAGGGGTCTACACTTTTTAAAAGTAAGAGAGGCCCGAAAACCTTCCATTCTAACCAATACGTTAAGCAATCGGCAGGTAGACCTGAAAGACTTTCCAAAGCTTCATGATTTGCAAATTCGGGACTCATTCAATATTAACAATGCGCATATCGAGAGTGGGGGGAGAAATGCCGTCGAAGGCGTGGCGTCTAGCGTCGATACTAGCGCAAATGAAGCAATCCATGAGGCAACGTCGGCTGCCAGCAGCATGATTCAAGCCCAGGTACACGAATTGAAGTCACACCTGCCTCGATACTATTTTGTTGGCCTCTGGAGCTACTGTAAATCCTATGATGGCTCGGAGATGGTGTGCTCCGACCCCAGCACATCTTTTTCTTTCGATCTATCTGCCGTGCTTAACTCTACGCCAATAAAAGTCAGCGACATACAGGTTCGCTCGAAATCAGCTTCACCTTTTTGTTCTATGCAAATATTTTTGGAACTCTATTCTGAAACGCGCTATTCTATTCTTGTTGGTGGCTCGTGAAATGTTTCGTAACATTAAACAGACGAACGGTGGGTCAGTAATTAACGGGAATTTATAATACCGTTGTTACCGGAGAGCCGAGGCTGTTGGCAACCTCGAAAAGCGACCGTTGACCACCCACCCAAAAGTCGATCCGCTTCCACCACATCATTTGGCGATTTAAACTCCGGGTTTCAAGCCTCAATATCAATGGAAATTTTACTGCTGAGTTCTGTGAGTTGATATCATGCTATTTTGGGACGGCACTGATTAATGATACGGCGTTAGTACATCAGAATCAATGAATCAAGCGTGCCTACGAGCTCTACGTATGGATCCTCGCGATAATAAAGATCGTATTGAGATTAAAAGCCTTGAAATACTACCTCTAATATCCTTGGATTCAGCTTTGGCGCTCTAAGGGAAGCCTTCACGAAACTGTTCGAGACCGCCGGATATCTCCTGGAGATAGCCCGAGGTCCTTTCTCAAACGCATCAGATGATGACGATGAGCTTCACGCGACCTTGGCCTCTTACGACCAGGAAAATCGGATACAATTTCGGCCAAGATATCCAAAGATGCCCCATTCGGGAAAAGCCACTTGACTTTTCGGATATCCCCTCTGTCATAATATTTGCAACAGAGCCTGTTGATTCCCCCTTCGACCTCTCGATAAGAAGCACCATGATGGGTCAACCAGCTTAAACGTAGCTCGTAATCATTCGACCGAGCAGCACGCTCCACTAGGTTACCGCAAGGAATCTCTTTTAGTGATGCTCCACGTTGGATGAGAATACCCAGGTCTGGAGTTACACCATTCTTGCGATAGGCGTAGGATAGAATGTGGCCCTTCGATATAGAATGGCACTTTTCTAATCGACAATCCTGATAACATTCTTTCAGCTCCTCGCCCTGAAGGGCCTTGATATCTTTCAAAATAGATATAAGGGTGTCACGGCCGAATAAAATCCACATTCGACGGCAAATGATGCGGAGATGTAAGTAATCAGGAAGTTCAAGGTTCATTGCGATTGAATTCAAGATCTCCGTTGGCAGAGAAGACAAAGAAGCCATGCTTTAATCAAAAGACCAATTTTTGGATGACTTGTTGCAGGAAACGAGCAAGCCGGGCGTTTGGATCATAATTGAGCGGCGGGAAAGATGGATTGCTGATGCGGGATTCAGAATAAAGCACCCGCGGTGATATATATATGGGCATATATCACGTGATGTCCATAAATTCTAGGCTTCTCGCCTGTTTGATTCGTTTGCAGGGATCGGGTCTCACAACCGGGATAAGGTGGTGATTGTATCTGAGAGTCTACATGAATACAGACAAGTGATAGTGTAACTTTCCTGGATAGCCTATGATGGACTGATCGTCTTCCGGCTACCTCTAAAATACTGATTACCTTCTAGCCTTTGATCGTATTTGGATTACCTCAGATCTTTTGCTGTGTTTGCGCACTTGTCTGCCCCATTTGACTTCTCTCATACGCACTGATTACTCTTCAATATGCGACAATATCAAAGCCAAAGATCCCTCGGCCCTCCGCGATTCTCGCCCACCCAGGTTGCGCAATCGAAATTTATGCTCGGAATCCGTTGACCAATTTGGTCGATTCATTGTACTGTATTCCTTAAACTGCCAGTCGTTCAGAAGTTGGTTCACTGGTCAAGGACATAACGTGTTTTTGTGAGATTACACGTACCTACGCGTTTGCTGTTGTTTGTTGATCAACGGCCGCAATTTCCAGCTTGCCAAGAAACCACCACATCGGGTCCCAGTCACGTGCATTTCCCAATACACCAGCACTCCCCGAGGTTCAAAACGAAAATCATTTCGTTCGCCGCCTCCTTTTCATCTACTCACCTACTATGGGGAGGGAGTAGAGTAACGGTGGGAATGCGAGCTACAGAGATGGCATGGCAACCGACCGCACCCTTTGACTTGTTTGCAAGCGGTTTGTTCTAGACAACCAATCGCCCATACAGGACATTACAACGCTGCTTTTATGCGTTTATTTACAATTGTTCTGGATTACTAACGAAAACCGGGCCAGGGGCAGCCTAACCTGAATAGGCATAGTATTATACAAGATGAAGTTTAGGAAACTTTTGAAAGGAATGAACAGGTGAAGCTGATTTCGAGCGGCTCTGTACTTCCAGAAATAGACCAAAGTTTGTTTTCCGACTACCGTCAACTTTCCATGAGTGCGATTCGTTTGTATATTTCCGGGTTTGTCGCAACCACTTTGACAATAATTTTGGCTGGTTGCAAGTTTTTCTTTTCCAATGGTAGCAGGTTACTTGCCATATCTTGCACGGTATGTGATACCCGGGAGAATATAGAAGAAAGATGCTGACAAATTAAGCTTTCATCGATGCTCATTACGACCGCCACAATCTTGGTCACGGTGCTGTATGGGCTATTTGTTTCCATCGCCAAGAAAAATTTGCAGACCTATGGTGTCCAAGTCAACCTTGGAGCAAAGATGTTTACCACAGCATGGTTGGCCTTGTCGTTCTCCATTGCTAGTTTAGTTACATGGCTCGTTCAACTTTTCTGCTGTTGCATCTAGATGGCAAGCCCGTTGCGGGTCTTGATTTGGATATTCGTTCAGCCGAGAACTGTAGCTTATCTATAGAGTCCATTGCGGACGGTGGACTGAAGTATTGTATTTTTTGCTTCTATAGTGCATATTCCGCGGTAATTGCAACTCCTGCTCGCTATATCTCATCCAAGAAAGTTTGTACCGAGTAGTTGTTCAGCTCCCATCTCTTCTTTGACCTCTATGGTACAATATAATGTAATGGATAGGATACATTGTGGTTGCCTTCTAATCTGTAGCGGACGAAAATGTGAAAACACAGAGATTCTTTGACACGGTCACTAAAGCAGAACAACCAAACTTGTCCGTGGTATAGACTTTCATGGTAGGCTCAGGTGTGACAAGTGGTTTGCCTGCTTTCGGTTGAGGGATCTGGATCTGTGTACATCCTTCTAATGGGCTCTAAAATATCACGCGCTGAAAATGATGCATTCACGGGACACAACTCTTCACATGCCGCTTGAGCTTCACATGCCCTTTCAACCAGGTCGCAAATTGTGTTCTGGAAATTTCGGAGCACTTGATGCACGGAATTGTTCGAGTCCCCGGTACCGGATCTGTAAAGTGTTTGTAGCTCGTTGAAAGTGTGTTCCGTGAGGTCTTGGAGTAGCTTGAAGAGAGCATAACAATCACGATAGTAAGCATTGTGTGCTTGCTGTTGGCCGATCTGGCGAACAATTTGTACAATCTCTTCCATTTCCTGGATTTCGCGACGGCGTTTTGTGCAAGGGAAAACGAACAAGCACGTTCCACCCTTATAGCCTATAGTTACTTAATGAGAAATACACCATGCTCTTATCCATCACAGTCATTGCACACATAGGTCAGTCGCATAGCCGGAAGATCATTGAGACAAACAACAGATAAACATGCCTCGACTGTTCAACAGGAACGTGCTCATTTCTGAGGGTCCGGTCTTTGAGGCGGTCCTTGCTGATATGATGGTTCTTCACCTCACCGTTCCGGTGATCACCACCGCATAAAGTGTCACTTCCACGCCTTCCTTCGTGTGTTTCAGCAAATACCGACTTGTGTAGTCAAAGAATATGACCTGGGCTCCACAACTGGCTATAAAGACACCTATCCGTCCGAATAATTCTCCTCAATCCAGTCGGAATAATTACTTTGACTTTGCAAAATGGACACTCTCGATTACCATAACCTGCGCAACTGTGCCATTGATATCATAATTGGCATGCTCGGGCTCTCCTACTTCGTCGTTTATCTACTACTATTTTTGATTTTCCATTTTCCTTCAACTCAAGAGTCGATCCCATATGCCCTGGCAGTCATCGCCTTTGGTGGCGGAATCGCTTTGTGGCATCTATTTGTTGTCATCCAGAATGGTTTCCGTGTGCTCCACAACAAAACAAAGACAAAAGAGCAAGTCTCATTGTGGTTTGTTGGTCTGTTCCTCATTTGGACCGCTGCTCTTCCGACGGTCGCGTTTCTCTTTCCAGCCCAACCATTGCTACAACTTGGATACGCATCAGCCTTCACCGTAATCGTTGTTGGAAGCCTCCCTGACGGCTACCTCAAAGATAACACGGTATCCTTCCGTGGTCGATTCTGCCAGTATGCGCCAGTGGGCCTATTGGCGTTGGTGCCCACCATTCACGCATTGGCCG